AACAGGGTTTTTTATAGTAGACTATTTATGTATCATTTGCGCAATACTTTTCATCTCGTTAATTTTTAATTTTTTCGATTGCCACTTGCTTAAGATTGTCGGTTTAGTCATCAATTTTCTCGATCAATTCTCCTCGTTGTTTTTTGGCATCGCATCACGAAACGCACTTGCGGCATTGACGTCGACGTAGAACCGGCCCCAGCTCTCCTACGAAAATGTCCGATTATTCCATCAAGGCGGTTCAAGGTCGAACTTTCGATTAAACGCGCCACTCGTCCCGAATGTTGCGTTATTACGCGTTTTATTGTGTTAAGAGTCCGAGATGCAACACGTGACTGTTCCTCTCATGCGAGAGATGTTTCGAGAAGCACGACCGGCTGATTTCTCTCAATAAATACCTATATCTATTTATTGCGAAATACGCATTTTTTTTAAATAAAAAACAATTTTGGTAATTACAAAATTATTGAAATGAATTAATTTTGAAAGTTAAGATTCTCTCGACCAAAATATACCAATATTGTCAGTTCTATGGTATATTTAAATTTGTTTTAAAAAAATATGTTTTTTTCGTGTGGAATTATTTTTCTGTTTACGATTTTATTAATTAAAAACTTTGGAATATAACACATTTTGTTTTGATAGCTATTATTTCTATCTCGCTTAAATATTTTGCATGTGATTGTACCGTTTTGTGAAAATTAATATATATGTTGTCAAAATTTTTCGGATTTTAAAATTCTTTTTGCATGTCATTTTTAGCAAGGTTATCGACATGGAATATCGCTCGAAATAGTCACGGCAATATACAATAATTTTGCATACTTGGAATAAACGATATCACGTATTTGGCAGTCAATGAGTATATATTTATTTTTGGCCGATAAAAATCGACAGATAGACAGAATTGCGCGTGACTTCGTCATAAAACCGTCGATAAGCCTGTTATTAGTGGCCCTAAAGCTAAAAGTGCCGGTATTCCAACAATGGAATTAAATTCTCTCGTTTTCTAAAATAACTCGACGTTATATCGTTCACACATGACGTGTCTCAATTGCTACGTAATTTGATTATTCAAATTATACATTCATTACTTTATATGTGAAAAAAGTTTTCCTTGTAGTAATCTTTCGACAATTAAGAGTTATTACTATGCTGATTATTATTAAATTATTAGTAAGAAATTATTGTCAAGAAACATTATTAGTTGCAGCTAGTTATTATTTAAACATTAAATTACAATTAAATAAGTTTGAATAATTATTAGCATTTAATATCAGTAAAACAATAAATTTTCCAATTAATACTTGGGAGAATTTTAAGTAATTTATCTTTTATCTCATATAAATTACTTTAAATTTAAAGAGTTTAGTAAAGTTTAGTAGAGTTTTTTTTTACAACTTGATGAGTGCTGGTTACTTAAATTTGAATAAATATCGAATATTATTTAATGACACTCATTAAATAATATTTCATATTTTGATTAGTATTAATGCGTTAATTTTGATTTCTGTTTTGATTCGATACTAATTTTGCAAAGAGGATTCTTCAGTCTAATGATCAATTTAATAATTGCTTTGTTAAGGAAAATACTTTATCCAATATATATATATATATATATATATTGAATTATCATTGATAATTTTGGAATATTTTTCGACGGCAAAAAACTGAAGTACTTGTCATTAGTTTAATGTGACGAACTGGAAATTGAAGGCTGAGCGTTTCTCGGCTGCCAAATTTGTCGAAGTGACTTTTAATCAAATTGATCGTTGTTTACCGACTAATGAGGTTTAAATTGTAGTATTTCACGCGCAGATATTTTATAAGCGATTTCCTCTACTCTCTTCCTTCCTTCTCTTCGTTCGATTTTTTTTTGCCGCGTCGTGCTGAAATCCGAAACCGATTATAAAGTGTAACGTAAGAATCGCCTGATATAAGTTATCGTCGATTTTTCGGATGTAATACTTATACTTGAACGTATTGCAAAGATATAATATTTTTGCTTATGCGTTTTTTGCCGATAATGCAATTCGACAATATTTATAATGTGTGCTTGCTTGGATATAAAAATATGTGTCTTATATATATTCTGTTTGATACGCGCAAAGTGTCCCAGAGATTACATATTTATCATTCCTCGTCACAATATTTTTGAGTTTAGACATATAAAAATATTTGCTTGTTTTATCTTTTGTTAGTTATATTATTTTTTATTTCAATATTTAAATATTTGTTGAACTTTTCTCTTTCTTTCAAATTTGTTAATATTTTTTTTATTATTTAAAAACATTTCATATAAATAAATATTTCTTTATCTCTGAAATTTGTCATACACATATTACTTTATTAAATTTATTCTACATATTATTTTTTTCCAAAATTAATTTAATTAAAAATATTTTGTCATTTGTTATATTAAAATTCTTGCAAAATATAAAAAAAAATATTATACAGTATACACCATCCATATATATCTTTCTATTTAATCATGTTTGATAAGAAATAAGCAAACATTTACGTTGCAGAGATAGAGAAAGGAAAAAAAGCTGAAAGAAACAAAAGTATACGTAACTCATTTAGAAAGAACAGTCTTGTTATTAGCGGGATACAAGTATAGTCGAAAATCAGCATGTACGTGTCTGTCAGAAAAGTGACGTAACACGTGTCTAATTTACGATGCAGTAACCCGTGCACTTTACAACTTGTTAATTACGTTATCGGCACGTCGATAAATTAAGGATCGCGAGAAAATCGTAACGCATTTAGATATTTCATCGAGATATCTAAGTGATCACATCCTATTGTTATTTATTAATCGCGAATAAAACAGAAAGAGAGTGTCATGTAATTTTAAAAATTACATAATCTTTTCCCACATTGTAAGAGATATTTGTTATAAGCTATATATCGTGATTATCATATAAAGTGAGTAAACAAGTAATTTCATGCGTAAATCCGTGGTAAGCTATTATCTCAGACCTTCAAGTGCCTCGATAGGAGACACAATGCGATCATCTGATTTGTTTGTCAAGCATACACAGGGTGTCTTAAAATTGCAATCAACCATTTCAATCACGACGAAGACTTGCTGTTTTCAAAAAAAATCGACAAAATTAAATAAAAAACGTGAATATCGAAAGGCGAAAAATTTCGAAAAATATCCTCGCGAAAATATATAATAAACGAAATTTCGTTTCGGAACGTTTTAATTGCTCTCAGCACTCATTACGCGCGGCGATTATCTGTTATCTTTAGGCACTTTGTTAGCCGGCCGATTCCCGGGCTTATTATAACGTCGCCGGCGTGCGCGTGTGTGTCGTCATAAAGGAATTTTATTGATTCGTGGGAAACGAACCGAAAAGGGATATACACAAAGGGCCAGCTCGGCGCCGCCGCCGTTCGCGCGATGATAAACCGACGCGGCCGCAGAAAGCGTGAGGAAAAAAAGAACGATCTCGAGGAATCGCACGCTGCATTACGTCGAAGGCATATTATTTCGAGGTGAATCCAATTTCGATGAAACAATCGGGGGGAAATCGTTGTGCGACGTGTCGCGTAAGGGTGCTCGAACAACGATGATGCGAGGGTGCGTCTGTAGATAGGGCGCTTAAAAGGCGTCTGGAAATTGCGCCGCACAAAGCTCTTTGAGCTTAACGTTTAATAAATTACGAGCCGTGCTTTATTTCAAAGGAGAAACATTTTTCAAAATTGTTTGTTTTTTTTTTAATAATTTATTATTACTATATTATGATTATTATTTATCTGGCTGCATATATGGTGCTCTAAAGAGTGCTGATCTTATGGGAAAATAAGTTTGTCTCGAAGCTTTATTTTTTGATAATTTATTGAATTAATGTATAATATTTAATAAATACGAAAATTAATATATAATATATAATATTTATATATATATATATAAATTAATTAAATATATTGTCTTACATCTATTATATAAAAAATAAAGAATAAATAAAAAAAAATTATAAAATTAAATGTCTTGTTTTCTCTGCTCGTTTACGTATCTACCTACTAAAGTATATTTTCAATTACGAAGGTAGCAAGAAAGTTTAAATTAAAGTATGCTTTTTACGTAATGTCTTTGAAGGATTTTAAGCTTAAGAAATATTTAAATTTTTAAAGATTGAGAGAGACACAGATTGCTGGACCTGAATATCGAACTGTTTTCGATATTGCCGCAACAATTTAACATCACTGTCAATTTGTATCTTATCGGTGACGAAATGTGTAGGTGTTAGAGTCGATTTCTTTTCAATAATGTTCGCTTTTCGCAAAGCCCTTTTCATCGACTTTGCTTTTGTCGAGCACAATGTGACTCTCGTCTCAAAGAAACTTCTGTCGATTTCGAGGTAAAGGAGAATATGAAAAATAGAAGAAATATCGGTGGCGGTGTATGAGTGTATAAAGAAACGATGTAACTCGCGTATATGTGTACGTAAATAAGAAAACTGAAGAATGAGGTGGGAAAAGAGGAAAAAATAGGGATTGCACGCGCGACTTTTGTCCACGTGTAGCAAATTAGTCGATCGAGGGCGGATTATTTGAATACCCGCAGGTCGCGACGGAATGAAATTCCGCGAAAGGTATTCTCCGCAAAGGACATATAATGCGAGTATATAATGATACTTAACATGGATTATCCTCGAAACATTGATATCTTGCTTGTTTCTCACTCGTTAGTTCTGACATTTTTGACATTTATTCATTTTTTCAGGCGATTAAATCGCATACATTTTAACCAATTTTTGCTAGCTGACGAAATTGCTTTTGAAAAATATTTTATTGTAAATATTGTTTTACTTTAAATTTTATATATATATATATTTAAAATTTAAATTGAAAAAATATAACTGAAAAAAACAATGCACATAATTGTGTATCACAAATCGATAATATGCAGCCTATTTAAAAAAATTTTTTTTTTCAGTAAATGTGTTGCTGAATATTTTTACATAATCGTGATTGTTCTTTTGTTGCAGGCCTGGCCCATATGAATTGCAAGACCCGTTGTGGGTCAAAATGAGTACGATTACCAGCGGCATTACCAAGAAAAGAAAGAAATCAGATGCGAAGCCTCAGTCGCAGATGTGAGTACCACAATCTCCTGTCTTTTATCTCCCTTTGAAGTACGATGAGTTCAGATCCGCAATTTAGGCGTCATAGTAAATGATAAATCCTTGTCTTTCACACTGCATATTCGACACAAAATGCAAGTTTGTCGGCGAGAAAAAAAGTGATCCCGAGTTATTTAATACAATTAATTTAAAAAATTTTACAGTATAAAAAACAAGCTTTTGCATAAAGATAATAAAAATGAACAACATTAGTTTCTTTATTTTTCATATTTTTATATTATTTATTCCTTATTGCAAAAGTTTTTTAATTATTTTCTTTAACTTTGGATTACTTTTTTATTTAGAAGATCGATTTCTAAAATATTAAGTAAAGTGGCGTGGCTTTTAAAAGTATCACACTTTTATCATTTACTTCGATTCGTTGAAAGAAATATTACGGTATAAAAGTATTAAGCTTTCGTATAAAGGCAATAAAAAAAATGGACACCGTTAACTTTCCTTATTCTTTATATTTTTACATTCCTTCTTTATTGCAAAAGTTCTCTGGATTAATTTTTTTTTCCAAGTTTTTATTTAGAAGGCAGGATGCCTAAAATATTAAATGGGATGTGCGTGGTTTTAAAGTTTGGAAATCCGTGATTTAAAAGGTTCGACGATGCGTAATCCGTTGCCATCCAATTTGCTAAAGAGCTTATCGTTCCGATCGAATTATCAATGGCAAACACGCGCGCGCGAATTTTTAAGCGTTCACCATTAATTTAACAGACTTTAATGTCAAAGTAATGTTCGGTCGCGCACGAATAAAATTTCATCAAATTATTGAATAAATGATATTCTTATTATTCGTGCGCGAATATGCAGAGAGAATTTCTATGAAGTATCGTGTTTGTTAATAATTTATTATTAGCAATCTATTATTATGCAATTGAGCAACAGAGTATAATAATATTTTCTTTTAACATCGTTAATCAAATATTGTCAATTATCTTTTTATGTTCATTTTTTTACATTAATTTAAAATAGTTGGTTACTAGAGAAAAGGTATTTCAGAATGCGCAAAATATTTCTGAAATATTAAAATCTGTGGAATAACGTTACCGAATATATGAAAGTATTACAAATACTACATTATTTGATATATTTTAATTGTATTTCAAATTGAACATAGTTATCAGTACGTTTTCAAGAGTACTAAAAAATCTCAGGAAAGATTGCTTTTTCAGATAATATGTATTATTTTGAACAATGCATAAGAAAAAGAGAAAGGAACAAAGAACGTGATTACTATTATGGCTTAATTAGAGATTGAAACTGTATAATAAAACTTCGGTAAATTCAAATCTTAATGTTACAGACACATGCAAGTGATTTTCACGTTTATTTGCGGCAATAAAAAAACATGATCCTTATATTAGCGTATAAAAAACGAATTTATAATGTTTATGGAAGATTTAACGCACTCGTCAAAGAAAGGTTTTTTTTAATCTAACGATTAGTGTCAACACTCATAAGTATAGTGTATGTAGCGAGATAGTAAGATCACGTATTGGGGTATTGAAATAGCAACATAGTGAGAGTCACTGCTGGACTGACGTGACGTCACACAAGGCCAACTGAACGTTTCAAACGGGACAAGACGAGTTGATTCAGCATCTAATCATTTTCTTCTTATAAAATTGTCGAATCTTCTCTCGAAGGATTTTTTATCGCTTATTTTTTTTTAACGCCTGGCAGTATTATATTGCATGTTTCGATCAGCAATCTTAATGATGGATTCTTTTTGATCAAGTTGGATTCGATGACGTTTCAATTAAAACGCCAGTTACAAATAATTTACAAGACTTGCGCTTTAAACTTCACCTTTGCTCCTATTGAATTTTAACACGAAGTTAAATAACACTGAATATTTTTTTGTTCCGAACGAGAATAATTTTCGATATCATAAAGACAAGAAAAATCTAAAATTGCATAATAATAGCTAATAATTTACATGTTTGCATATTAATTGAGATATATAAATTTTCTAAATTAAATAATATTTTTTTTTGTATATTTTTATGTATTAATGTTTCTTTAATGTAACTTTATTATGGTTATTTTATAAATTAGGTTGCAGATATTTATTCTTTATTATATATCTCGATTATATATTTTAATAAATATTTTAATAGATATTTTATAAACGTTTTAAGTCCGCCACAATAAAATATCAATTTCCAAGCTTCTCCTTCGTATAAATGTAATTCTCTTTTATTTAAATGCTTTTCAAATTTATTACCTATGATGTATAATTTTGATCGTATTAGTGAATTTATCATTTTGCATTAAAAATATTAAATTAATACGTATTACCGTAATATTATTTGGTAATATATTTTTAATGCAAAATGGCAAATTCAATCAAAATTATGTCATAGACAATAAATTTGACAAGCAGGAAGACATTAAATTTTAAATGAAAGAGAATTACATTTAAATGTAAGAGGGAAGCTTGGGAATTTTATTGTCAGAATTGCCGACGTCGGTATTTTGACGACTGGATTTCAAGCGTTAAATATTATTTTGAGATCGCGAATGCACATTAATTTTGTATTTTGATTCTTTTGCAGTAACAAGTGCCTTAATGAAAAAAGACGACGGAACCAAGAGAACTCATATATTGATGAGCTTGCCGAGCTGATTTCCGCCACGGACATGAGCTCTGGCAAGACTGACAAATGTCAGATCCTTCAGAGAACCGTCGAGCAGGTAAGAAAACAGATTTCTTCTCTCTATACTCCCTCGTGAATCTCGATGATTGATAACAGGTATCATATAGTAACGTGCCGTCGATATTTATCATTTTAATATCGTTTTTCCTTCCTTGGTAATAAAACGTCATCCATTTGAGTGACAAGATTAGGAGAAGGTCGGGAGATATATAATCACATTCTTTATTATACTTAAACACCTCAAATTCAAAACAAGATAAACTATGTCCTTTCTTTAGAGAGGAAAAAAAACTTACCTTTGTGATCATATGTCAATATATATAAGTAAATATTGTCATACGATTAATCCATCATTAATCTCAATCATTTATAAAATCATATATTTTTCTCTTAATCATTACTTTAAATGGAAATTGAAACTTATATATTTTTACAACGCAAATATGTTTTCGATAAAGGCGATGAAAATTCTAAATTTCTATCTTGACAACGCACCGAGAGGGATTTAAATTCCAAGATTAAATCACTGACGAAATAATATAAAATGCTATCTAAAAACACTCACGTTTCACTTGCAAAATTATACAAATTTTTATCGTTCTCTCGGGTCATAAAATTGAAGATAACTGCTCGGTATTCAGACAAAATGACAATTTTACGATCGACAAGGGACATTTTATAAAGTCTTTCTTACTTGAGGCAGACAATAAAATATTTAAGATTAACGATATTATTTTCACGGTTTTTTTTTGCCGTCTTTGCAACTCGGGTGTCCCGTGCGTTTTATTTTTTCTTATTTGTTAGAACGGAAAAAAAAGGTGAGAAGTTATTTTAATAATTGAAATAAAGACAAACGCGGTGGATAGAAAGACGATCGGAGAGAGAATGTTGTTTGCTGTCAGCATTTTTCGTCGGAAAATTGATCGACATGTATTAAATATTGATCTGATCGAAGTTGTTTTTGGATCGACGGGGAAGAATCCGCGCGAAGGACGATGAAATATTTGAGAAAGCACTCAGGATTATTGAGAGATTTCTGGAGCGAGCGAATTTCTCTCATATAAAGGTCTCGTCCCCTGTTTTATAAATGACACATATTCCCGTATCGATCTAAACGAAAGAAAGAGCGACAGTATTTTCGAAAGCGACATTACACATCAGTATCATCAATTTAATGAGAATTTCGCGTAACATTAAAAAACTTGTTCTTAACAAGTTCTTCTATTTCGACGCTATCTGATGGCAATCGATCTTTCTTGCGAAATGTGTCCGTAGTATTTAATCTCTATATATTTGTAGGCAAATTTATTATTAAAATTAGTTGGGGTATGAGTATATTTTTGCTGCATTTATATTAAATCACTTTTTTATAGCATATGATTTATAACGTTATTTAATTAAATTTTAAGTTGAAAGAAATTTTTTAATTGATTAGCCTCTTTCTTATTCTGAAAAAAATTAGAAAAAATGCGCGACGATTATTGTTATTTGTATCTGAAATATTTCAAAGAACGGATGAACTTTGTGAATCTTTTCCGCAAACCTTTAATTTCGTTTCTAAATAACTGTGCTAATTAACATTAAAATTTAATTAATTTCCAAGCAAATGCCAACAGTTAAATATAATATTTCCTCATTTTTGTTATTTCTTACACTAAAACATTTGCTTTTATAGACATTAAATTAATTGAACATTAATTTCATAAATTTTTAATTTTTGACTTTGTGTGATATCTATAATTAAAGTCTGAATTAAAATTCTATGAAAATAAAATTTCCTTGAAGTTAAAAATTCAGATTTTTTTACTCATTTATATTTTACAAGAATTAGTAATAGTAGTATTAAAATAAAAAATAAATGATTCTTTTTATAAATCAATCTCATTATCAAAAATGAAAGGGTTTTTTTTCTAATTTAGAAATCAACTATATTTCAACTTTTTTTCTTATAGTATGACAGATCATGACATCGTTGAAATAATTTAAACTGCTTGAGACAGCTTTCGAGGTATTCGAGTAACACGAGAGATTTCGAGCGATTCAGTAAATTCGGTCACTAGATTTTGGACAGTCCGTATATTTCTTGATGTCTCTCTTTTTTTTTCTTTAATAATCCGATTACATTTTTCGATTCGGTCGTTTTATATCAAATCTCGCCTATTATATACGATATAATACTAGTAATATATATATATATATATATTTAATATAACACTTGTAATATTATTTAGTATACATATATTTTTTTCGAATAATAATATACAATATAATATTACAAAAAATTCAATTTTATTCCTGAAAAATTTGTGTTATATTTTTATAACAAGTTATACAATATGTACGTATAATTCTGGAGCCACGTACAGTTGTGTGTAAAATACGAAAAAATGTGTCACGCTTTTTTTGTCCAAGGATTATTAGTCTGACTAAATTACGCGAAACAGAATTATGCAGAAGTCGGTTAAACGAATTAAAATAAATAGAATTTCAAAAAGTGACATGTATATATCTATACATGCAAACACGCACATAATATACACGGCTGTGAATCTGTCGGCGGTATATAAAATTTTGCATTTTAAATTATCTCGAATTAAGCGCTCGGCGAGTTAATTCACTTTTGCATAACGCCATGGCCACTTTCAGGCCTATTTTATCTTAGCGGAAATTTGATTCGATTTCTCGGAGCCTATTATTATCGCTAATATAATCGCATCGTTTACTCCGCTCGCGAAAGGTCAAAGACGCAGTTACGGGTATTTTTTTTTATTTTTCATTTAAACATTTTTTTATTTTTAAATCGATACGCCGATTAATCCGCTAACGATACACGCCGATAATTACAGGTCCCGGGGTTCCTTTGTTAAGCCGTGTGCTGCCTCGCTCGCGCGATCGTCGGCTAAAACGCGAGGCAGAGCAGTTGCATAACGGCCGCTATAAGGCTAAGCCCTTGACTCACTGGCGATTGAGAGCCGAGGTTACGCTTCCCATTGGCGGGGACCAGGTCCGGTCCGAGATTTTTCGGGGGTCTAGAAATTTGGGGATTCGATAATGTTGTCGTAACTCTGCCATTAGGCGAGCGAAGGCCTCCTTGCTCGACTGAAATTTTAAGCAGCGCGCTTTCTCGTTCGGTTTATCAAAGTCATACCAAAGTCGCTTCAGAACGGTACGTGCATATCTCGTTCTCTCCGAGAAGATGTAAATGAAACGCGGTGGTTCAAAAAGCGTAGCGCGTCAATTTTAATAATTATTATAATTTATTTATTTTAGATTGTTGTTTTATTTTTTATTTTATGCATTTTACGATTTTATTTATTTTATTTATAATTATTTATTATAATAAAAAGTTACAGAACGTCTGTAACGTTTGATGCTGACACAATTAAGAGTAATAAATTGTGGTTTTTTTAATAGGTACATTATATAAATCGTATTTTTACAAGAATAAAAATTATAAGAATAAATTATTTTATAATAGATAAAAATATTTTATTCGAGATTAGCAAATATACATGAAATTACTCTGAAATCTCTCGATGCTATTCGATGTCTTTGAACATTGTGGCTATCGTTTGCCAATATATCAATATCATTTGAAGTCTTCTAATTAGTGATGTTACTTGATACTATCTTCTATAGTAATCAGTTCTAGTTATCAGGATATCAATGTCTTGCCATTATTTAAATTACCGAGATATCAATACCAAAAGTCTTTTAGTTATTGCTACTTGATATTATCTCCTAATCACTTCTAATTATTAAGATATCGATATTCTATTTCATTTTAATTTTAAATTTAGATTCTGTGGAATCTATTTCTTTTTAATTATTAGAGAGATAATATATAATATATATTGCAATGGTCCGTTCTTATTTTAATATCATCTGTCTCTGCAATTAAGTCTCAAATAAAAAATCTTGTCAGAGTACGCGAAAAATGTTAATTATATTTATTTTTATTAAAAATTATATACTTAATACACAATATTTATTATATAAAAATTTGATTAAGAAATCAGTTTATTTTAATCATACTTTTTGTATATTTCTTGCTTCTCTATTTTTTCTCTTTCTCTCGGTCGCAAAAATAAACGCACATCTATTTTAGACATGGCAAGTTATGCTAAAACAAAGAGATAATGATATCCTCGATAACATATTCATCTCTTCACTTGCGGCCTGGCACACAATGTGCTGTTCCTCGCTCTCAGCTGCTTCGCGCGCATGCTCGCGCGGCCGAGTTTCGGAGTCGCGGACTGCAGAAATGCATTTCGGTCGCATTCATCCGTCTATTCGCGCGCGTTTCCGACCGGCACACGGTTCGTGGCAACCGGAAAGATGGGAAGGGAGAAGAAGAACAAAAAGAGAACGAGAGAGAAGGATGGAATCGCTCGACTTCCCGTCTCTGTTATCGCCCGCGCGCGTTTGACAGCTCGCGGCGGACCACGTGTTCGCCCATTTGACAGCTCGCGGTGGACCACGTGTTCGCGGTCCGTTTGACAGCTCGCGCGTTGACAGGAGTGGCGCCGCGGAATAAAAGAAAAATCTCGAAAATTGTGCGGATTGAAACGAGCTTGCGGATGAGGAAGGTCGTGTTTTGCGGAGGAATCGCTGCTCCTGTCCCAAGCGAGAGTTTGCCACATGACCTTGGGTGATGTCACCGAGGCCAATAGGAAACCTTCCAAACACCGCTATAACTCGACCTATACCTGAGCGAAAGAGAGAGAAAGGGGAGAAGAAAGAGAGAGAGAATTCTATGACGTCATCTGCGCGATGGCGTTATGCGCAGCGATGGATGGTGATTTGAGCGAGGTAGAGTCGATTGAAATTTTCTAAAAGATATGTACAAGTGTCATCAATGTCTCTTTTTCGATCCGCTTTATCTCGCGAGATCCTCCCTTTCTCTCTCTTCCCCCGCGGGTATTCGGGATTTTTACTGCTTATCGCAGTTTGCTATAGAGATGATGCGACTTTTGCAACGACAACGTGTAGCCGTGGGTGGAGGAATTGCACAAGGGAGGGACGGTTCAATACACG